CAGCAGAATTTAGAGGAGAATTTTATTTTATTTTTTATATATTTTTAAAATGGACGGGACTTGATTAAATGCAAGAATGAATAACTCAGAAAAAGCACTCACTGTTTTATCTGAGTGGTGTTAAGCTGACGAGGCCTTATTAATACACTGATGATTGCTCTCTAAAGTGATCGGCAAGAAATTCCTGCTAACACAGAACACACGTGATGTGCACACACGTGCACACACGTGCACAACGTACGGCTACCAGCTTAACAAAAGGTGTAATCACAGCCAGATCGCAGGCTCTATTTATATAGCTCTGGACTATTTTTTAACTGCCGGGGTCAGCAAACTGTTGCCAATCACGGCACTTTTATTCCATTTTCAGACCCGGACTTCCATTCTCTAAGAAGTCTAATCTAGTTATCTGCAGAAATGCTTTCCTCGGCCGCACGCTATGCGGGGAATAGTGAGTGGATGCGGATATGAAAACAGTGTTCTGTGCTTATCCTGTTTTTGGTATTCATTTATTCATTGCTTTTGGTGAAATACTACATTTTGATGTTTTGGTGCACCAAGAATCTGAGTCCTATCTCAATCCTTGCATCTGAATAAATAAATACAGATGGAGGTAGATAGATATTCTGTTGTGATGTTTTGTTTTGTTTTTTTCAAGTGTTTTGTTTGGTTTTTCTTGCTTTTTTTGTGTTTTTTGTGGGGGAGTTTTTAAACCCGTATTCTCATTCACATCTTCGGTGAAAAATCTCGATGCTATTACAGGCAGAAAAGCTCAGGACTCGGCTGCAGGATTTGGAAAAGCTCCTGACTCACTTTGATTGCAGAGGTAGATTCGGGAAGCGGCACCACCTGCTGAAGTATCACATGGCCAGGCTTTATGAGCATGAGCACCAAAGGGAGGATACTCTGCCCAATGCTCTGGAGGATTTTCTGGCCTTCCAAGGTATCAGCAGCCAGGAGCCGAGATAATTCCGCTGTCACTCCTTTTAATGTTTCCTCCGTGGTCGTGACATCTTGCGAGGCACTTGGCAGCCTTTGCCTTGTGAAACATGATGCTCGCTTAATGTGCCATTGTAACCGCTGTGTCACGCTTTGGCTATGAGATGATAACATGCCATATCAGTACATACAAGACCAGCCGCAGAAACTTGATGTGAAACCGCTCCCGGCGTTTCGAAAATCTGCTGCTGTTGCTCTGTGTCTGTCTCCTCCAGTGTGACTGGGCTACATATACAACGCAACAAAGCGATTAAATCAGGAAGCAAGGCGACAATGCAAACCTCTCCCAATTACTTTAACACAATGTTGATATATCCTCATTATCTTTGGAGGGGAAAAGGCTTACAGGCTCAGCTGCACAAGCCAAATGGAGACAAATCATAACAATATAGAACAGGGCGCCGTGTGACCAACTTAATCCCTGTTTATATGACAGCCAGGGCATCGCTAATCCCTGCTTATTATGATTATAGTTGCAATCATGATAACAGTTGCCCAACAATCGCCCTCCCATCACCCACGCTATATATACACACATACACACGTTGTTACCAGTCGTGCTCTTTAAGGCACTGGATGGCCCAGTAATGATTTAATGAGTATGTGGAATCAACGGACTCGCTGTGTGGGCACACACAAGCTCCTTCCTTCTCATTTTATCAGACACGGAGTCAAAGCGACAAGTAAAGCATGTCCCAAAATGAAGCAACAAAGCGGACAGATTGTACTAATTGTTCTGTAAAATGCCTTTGCAGCCAGTTAAATTAGAAACACGACAGCAAACAAAGTGAAATTGCAAAAAAAAATACGAGCATCTGGATAAATTTCCATATGGTTCTGCTTATTCTGACTACTGATATGTAGAATGGATGAGAGTCCTCACATGAATTAACACAGTAAATGAGGGAGCCGAGAATGAGAGATGTGTCAAAATACGGCTTTCCAGCTACAAAGAGTTGGAAGAATGGTATTCTTGGTGAAGAAATCCATGAAAGACTTAACGTGGTTTTATTTGCTTTGTTCTTACAGAGGCACGGGAGGCCTTAATAAAACAATTTTCCTTGCTGGAAGCTTCTACAGGCACACTTTTAGCCCAGCTGCATGGCATTACATCTTCTTTGAACTGCAGCATCAGCATGACAGAGGAAGAGGGGAAGGAGAGGAGGAAGGATGAAAGCAGCGGGGCTGTGTGTCAGACCTTCACAGACACTCTACACATGATCAGAGTGTCTCAGAAACAACTGAAGCAGGCAACACAAGACCTGGACAATATGGTAGGTGACCTAAATGTACACTTTGTCCTCAGTATTGTAGCCACCTCAAACACTTTATCAGTTATGACTTGCTAGCACCACTTTGGACACCCTTTGGGTTTCCAAACTGCCTTAATTCTTTATAGCATAGATTCAACAAGGTGCTGGAAACGTTCCTTGGATTTTGTTCCATGAAGTGAATCTCCAGCCTCTGTTGGTACGAGGCAGGATGGATCCATCCTTTTATGTGGGCTACTCCAAAATCTGAGCCCACCATCCAGTTGCTGCAGCAGAAATTGAGACTCATCAGATCAGGAAATATAGTTGCTGCCTGACAAGCCTGTGTGAACTGTAGCCTCAGTTTTCCTGTTTTTTAATTGAAGAGAGTTCACCCAGTGTGGTCTTCTGCTGCTGCAGCTCATCTGCTTCCAGTCTTGGCATGTTGTGTGTTAATAAAATAATTTCATTTTTGTCACCGACCTGTTTTTCCTGACAAAAACAAGACAATAACTAAATAAAAACGAACACACAAGGAAGAAAACGATGATGACAATGATGATGATGACAATTTTGCTGAAAGGATTCTGGAGAGACAAGATCCAATCAGAACTAATTAAGTTGTGCAGGAAGGTGGAATGGGTTTTGGAAATGATCTAAACTGAAGTAATCTCCTTGTGCGGTAAGGTTAGAGAGAAGGATAGAAATCACGGAGGAAACTAACTTAAGATTCTGTCTACTAAAATCTTAATCTTTAGTTGAGTAAAGCTAATAGAATTTAGATGCCTTAATTATGACTGAAACTAAATTAAATTGTAGTCCAAAGATTGACTAAAAAACTAAACAAACATTTGCTGTCAGAATTAACACTGCTACATACCTTTTTGTAATAAGAAGCTATTGGATTTTCTGTTGCCTTGAAGCAGCGTGACCATTCGCCTCTGACCTCCGGCATGAATAAGGCATTTTTAAACCAGAGAGCTGTGTCTTACTGGAGTATTCTCTGTAAACCCTTGAGGCGATTGCTCAGGAAAAAAATCCCAGTACGTCAGGAGTTTGTAAAATACTCAGACCAGCTGATCTGGCACCAACAACCACACCACATTCAAAGTCTCTTAAATCACCTTTCTTCCCATTCTGATGTTTCATTTGATATTCAGCAGGTGGTGTTGACTATGACAATATGTCTAAATGCACTGACTTACTGCCATGTAATTGGCTGATTAAATGTGCACCTGTACCTAATAAAGTGGCCTGTGAGTGGGCTGTGAGTGTGTCACGACTTCCAAAAGTCAGATTATTTCCAGGATAAAAATAGAGTTTGTAGATTTAGAAACATTAACAAAAACACAGGTTCTGACAAGTGAAGGGGCGCTTATGGTGCTGCATCATGTCTAAGGTTTGTATTCAAGTGGGAACCGCTCGTAGCACTGACTATGCTAACTCTGCAGTACAAATTTCCTTCGGTTGTTTCTGTACAGTTTCACTGAAGAAAACTGATGACATGTGGATCTGAGCTATCCATCACAGACTTCATGAAGTAAATCAACCTGCAGCCATTGTTCAGCTGTGATGAATATTGCCGTGCCCCAGGTTTCCAGCAGAACAGCAGACCTAAGCATAACTATGCACTATTGTCAAATTTTAAATTGGTATTCTAAGTAAAGACTTAGGCTTTCTTAGTGCCAAATCATAGATATACCACTGGTTTTAAAGGGGCACTTCATAGCACTCTGTGTGGAAACGTTAGCACAAGCAGCAGGCCAGCATTGCAGAAACTTAACAAAATTAGTTAAACAAGACAAGATTTAGTTAAGATACTGCTAAGCTGAGTGGTTTCACAGCACCGGTAGTGGCCTTCACACCACAAAGGAAGAAAAAATGTCAAAATCAATAGTATGAGTGAATGATTGGGAGAAAAAGAAAGTCCCCTTTGCCAGTAAATCCAAATGTGAGCTTACATGAATGACATTAACAATAACAGATTCACCAAAGGTCAGCACAGCAGCATCAGCAAAGTCCTGCTTGTTTACTGTCTTTGCATAATTCATACTCGTTCTACTCAGTCTCACGGCACGTTTTCCACCGGTTATACACGACCCCTGTAGAGTGCCTGTGTGCCTCACAGTGAAAGCCCACTCCCAGTTAGATAACCAGTGATTTAACAAGGCAAGCTAGACAGAGAATAATACTGCAATGTATCAAATGTGTAGCAAAGTTTGGTAGTGGGAATTTGAAATTGATCAAAAGTAGCCCTCCTTAGAACTTTTTGGAGGGAAGATTGACAAAAACAAGCAGTCCTAACATCAAACTAACCTCTTTGGAACATTTTTATTGTTATCTGGGTTAGAAGGTATTGCACATGATAGCTCGAGCATATGCTTATATTAAATCAAGTACTATAAATATTACTGTAAGCAATAATCAGTCTTTTATGCCATTGCATTATATACTGTGTGCTAGCATGCTGACACTGTATGTAGCATGTTTTTTTTATTATTTTTTTTTATTGTCTTTAGTGTGGGAGGTTGCAGTTTACCTTGCTAGATGCTGCTCTTTTGTGTAGATCCACAAAGATTCCCCCCAGGCAAAACCATAACTCCACCCCCTCACACCCCCACCCTTCTCCATATGAGTGGCACACTCCTCCCTCTGAAACAAAAACCCAAAGATGTTGATAGACGCTAAAATTAACAACTTGTTCTTCACCTGCCTCAAGGCTTTTCACGGTCTCTTCATGACGCTTGCAGGAATTTATTATAGATACTCCTGCCATGTTATTTAGGTTTGGAGAGATGAGTGAGCTTGTTTTGCCAATATATAACTCTCTATTTCTGATTGCGTGTGTGTGCGCGTGTGTGTGTGTCCATTGTGCTTATCACCTGGGTATGCCTGAAGCAACAGCAATGTAATTTCATATTAATAAGCACAGCGGCCACCTCCCTCCCACTAAAATGAAGAAAAATGCTTGTGTGTCAATTGTTGATTCAGTTTGCCCGTTTTGTTTGCATTTTTTCAAATTGAATGCCACTCTGGGAAGGACTCTGGTTTCAACCGTATAAACACTACATTTATTAAGACAAAACTTCAGGCAATTTCAGACCTTTTTAGGACCCCTCCCCTCCATATGCCCCTGCTTTGAACCTGCTTGATTACATACATTTATACAAGGAGGTTCATTATATAAACATGCAAAAGTATTGAGTACTCTCCAGTGCAATATAACTTTCATGTCAGCTGATTCGCAATTGTATTACCTTACAGGCGTTACATTGTAAATATATCCCACACAGTAGGCACTCAATACAACAAAGCTCTAAGTATTCCATTACTGAGCTTCAAGCCTTATTTATAATGCTTTCTGTGTCCACCCACATCTTTAAAAAGACTGTCTTTGGACTCAAATGAGGCCATAATTACACTTTTTACTGCTATTTTATTAATAGTCTTGCATATTTGGGGTTCCAGCTATAAAACAAATTTCCCCCCCCCCCAACACCTTTTTGGACTCATATAATCATATCATCGTCATCATCATCATGTGTTTACTTCTGTGTGTTCATTCTGGTAGTCCTGGCCTTGTTCTTACCAAATACATTGGACAAATTGATCCTGGTCTTATATGACCATCACTCCCCATGTTCATTAAACTTTTTTTTTCTTTTCCCTGTTTATTGTTAATTAAGTCAAATTTGATCTTGCGGTGTTGTGCCAGAGAGAAAGCAAGAGAGTTGCTTGCTCTCTGAGCTGTCACAGAAAATCAAATTTTTTACTGATAACCCATGTGCCAAGTCTGAAGGTTTCATTTGTCTGGGTTTTTTTAGATTGTGTAAGTACTACCTCATTTAAAAGGATCCTGATTTGTAGTACTAGGGCATGTACTGTACCTCTGATTACTGTTGAAACTGTTTCGACTGATTTTGAAGTTGGCCATAAATCTTGCTGTATTCTTTTCCAGTGTTGTGAAGTCTCACAATCACATTTCTCAACTTCACCAGCAATTCTTTTCCACGTGGAGCAAGAATGCAGACAGTCACAGCCCAAAATGACAAAGCTCTTATGTTCACAGGTCATTTTGTAACGCTGATCATGTATTTAGGCTCATTCAAAATTTTGCAATATTTGTTACACTTACATGTTTAAGATCATCAGACATAATGTCATATTAGACAAAGGTCTAAACTATCCAACCATATCTAATCCTCTGTCAAAAAGGAATTGATGTATTTAAAAGTAGATCTAATAAATCTGCATTTTGTATTTAAATCTTTGTCGAATATGACAAATATTGCAAAATAATAAAAAAAAAAACAGGGCAGAACTGTACATGTCAATAAATAGAAGTTCATTTATTTTTGATGTACTGAGTTTCTATTTTGGGGTTTGTATTTCCAAGACAGTCTTTTAAAATTTTTAATGTTCATATGAGAACCCAAATTAAAACTTTTTGCTCAAATCATTATCTAACAGTCAATATGTACAGACAGGTTCAGGGGGAGGTACACCACTGAGCATCTGTTTTCATCTGTAAAACACGGCGGAGGTACTGTCATGGTTTATGGCTACGTTTAATTCAGAGGTGGTTCAGATCTTATCAGAAA